TCTGCTTGTGTGTGGGGGGGGGGGGGGGGGGGGGTCCAGGGTCCTGGTGACTCCACTGTACAACGCAAACACAAACAAACAGGCCCCCCCCTCCCCGAATCCCCCTCCCAGACCCACAGCACGGGGTCCTTTACAAAAATCTAAATTTATTTAACCCTGTAAAGCCAAACGTATCATATTTGATTCATACGGTTTCTGAAATGTTTTGCGTCTGACACCTTTTGCTTAATTTAATGGTAAAAACTTTGCTCAAAATCCTATTGTACACAATCAGATACACCTGATAACAGGGGGCAGAAGACTACACAAAAAATAATCTCGACTTATCGCATAGTAATAAATTAATAATATTAAAAATGTATTTCTGTTTTTTCTTTTTACACATTTTGCTAAAAGGCCAAATAAGGAATTCAAACCAAAAAAATGAATTTTCTGTTTTGTTTTATTCTTCGATCAGGCTTTAAAAGGGTTAATACAGGGGTCGGGAACCTTTTTGACTAAGAGAGCCATGAAAGCAAAAAAATTGGAAATTTGTTTCAGTGAGAGCCATATAATATATTTTAAAAGTGAATTCAACTAAATGTTGAAGTATAATAAGCCTCTGAATTTATTCTTTTGAATAATGTTGTTATAATACTCGTGTCGAAGTGCCGCTTTACATTCGACCGTTTCATCGATGCAATTTTGTCATTGCAAATTCGACACACCACAGAATTTCCTTTCTCCACAAAGGCGAATTCTTCAGTCCATTCGTCCTGAAATATACGATACTCGCCATCTTTTTTTCTTTTAGCCATCTTCTTCGTCGAAGGGTTAGCTTTGAGCTAATGACTGATTCAAAAGGGGCCGTTTACCTGTTTTACACTGCAACGGCCACCGTAGTCCAGTATCAACCAATTAAAATAATGGACAACTGCTCCTGCACAGGACATGAGCAGTGAAAAATCCATGGATGGATATTTGTAGCTTGTATTTGTATACAAGTGAGAATATTTAGTTTTATCTGCGAGCCAGGTGCAATCATCAAAGGAGCCACACCTGGCTCGCGAGCCATAGGTTCCCGACCCCTGGGTTAATGGATATCCGGGGGGGGGGGGGGTGGGGGGGGGTGGAGGGGCTCCGGGACCCTGACGGCTGTGTTCTCCCCAGGTGAAGGTGCTCCAGCAGCAGCTGTGGCTGCTGCAGGGCGCCCTGGCCGCCCACGGCCTGTCCTGCCACGCCTTCCTGCAGCAGAACACGAGGCTCCTCCCCGGGCCCACAGACCCCGCCCCCTCCTGGCTGGAGGAGAGCTGACACACCTGGAGGCACAGGTGGGCTGACGGGGGGGTGGGGGGGTGAAAGGCCCCCGGACTGGAGGGTGTTCGGCTGGTTTAAAGAGTGGAGAACTCAGCTTTGTGATGTGGGACGGAGGGGGGAAGTGGAAAAGTAATTATTTATTTTGAATGTGGGAGGGGATTCGTGGGCTCTGAGCGAACTCAAGCTGCCCTGGGGGAGGGGGGGGGGGGTGGAGAGGTCCCGGAATGGGGGGAGTTTTGCTGGTTTAAAGAGTGGGGAACGTGGATTTGTGGGTCTGTGATGGACGTCCTGCAGCAGGAGGGGTTTAACATGAGGGGGGGCAATGGAAAAGTAATTTATTTAGAAACTGGAAGGGGATTCGTGGGCTCTGAGTGAACTCAAGCCGCCCTGTCTCTACAAATCTGACTAGAATAGTTTCTTTTTACGGCGAATAAATATGTATCATGAGACATCTCAGAGAAACACACAGATGTACAGTATGCCCCCCCCCCCCCCCTCGCTGTGTACAGAGGAAATCTGTCTAATCCTTTGTGAGGCACTAAGCTCCTCTTTGAACTTTAAGAATCTCCTGCCACAGCAGCCAGAAGCTCCCAGAAAGCAGAAGTGACTCCATAGCTCCAAACATTCGTCTTGTTTTAGGAGAAAATATACCAAACAGTCAGGAAAAAACAGGAACTGTCATCCTGAATTAGTCAGTTTTTTGTTCTTTGCACCAAATAATAGATTTCAGATTATTTAAAAGCCCAAATCTGTAAACCAGGCAGGTCAACTGTCCACAGTTTGACCATTTCCAGATAAAGATTGGGCCTTTTTACAGTTTTTTTTCCAGGCTTGTTTTCAACCTTTTTTCCTCAGCAGGCAGTTCTGTCTGGCCAAACCTTTAAGCTGAAAACCAAAGTAGTTGCTCATGTTGCCAGTGTTTTGCTGGTGAAGTCGGACTGGCTTGAGGCTCACAAACATGTTGGACACTGTTTTTTTTTTGTTTTTTTTTATCAGTGGACCAAAAAGAAAAAGCTGTAAAGGCAAAAAGTTCCATCTGATTTAAATGGGAAAAACCAATAATGTGCTACAAATCCAAAACTTACCATTAAACGCCGATTAGGTTTTTTTTTTTTTTTTTTGCTAGTAAAGAAATGTTCATTTTTTTCTTTTTTATTCTTGTTGATCATTTTCCAAACCATGGGCTTTAACTTTCCGTCTGTCTGGTTAAATACTTTTATGTCCTGGGGGTGTGGAAGCTTTTTGTTTGTGTAAACTATTGAGATCAATCTAATTAATGATCACAGCAGACTTTTGGATTCAGTGATGTTTCACATTCCTGGTGATAAATGCCCTCCAGCACTTTATTCGTTTTAACTATTTTGTGATGATAAAAAAATCTAATAAAAAGTTTAGAAAGTAAACGTTTGTTGGTGAGGGGATGTTGGTGTCAGTTCAAATTTTACTGAACAGTTTCTTAACTAACTTGAATGCCGACGTCATGTTTTACATTATAGGGAAAACCATGTTTATTTAGCTTGGTGTAAAACTGATTGTGTGTTTTGTTTAAATTTGAATAAAAAATGTGCTGCAAAGACAGATGAGATAAAAATGTGTCACTTTCTGTCACTTAAGCTGATTCTGCCTTAAACATCTGTAATGGATGAAATGCTCATTAAACTGTCTCCATTTGAAACTGTATTTGTGTTTGTGTATGTTGACCTCAAAAACAAGAGTGTGAATATGTAATGTGTTTAATGAAAACGGCTTAGAGAAATCCATTAAATTAAACCGAATTACATCTGGAGATGCCAAAAAAAGGCAGAATTTAAAATTATCTCAATGTTGTTTAGACTAATTTGATCTTGTTCTGAGAAAGCAATGTTTCCCAACTTTTTATCGTGGCTCTATTCCTTTGTAGGTTGTAGACATTTATTCCATTTTTAAAAAAACTCAACAAACAATCCAGATTATCCTAACTTCTTTGGATCCCAGTGTGAGACGGCCATTGCTCTAAAGTAAACTTTCTGTTTAGAGCTGAGTTTTAGGGGTTTTTTCTTTAGAGTTTTTCATCCTTTCCACTGCCACAGTTGGGTTTTCACCTTTATTTCCACACTATCATTTTCACTTCCAGTTCTCTAAAGAAGTTTGTATAGAACTCTCTATAAAGGCTGTAATGGGAAAAGGTTGGATGACTTTCGATTCAGACTTTTCTCACGCTAAATAAAAGCTGCTGGCTACCAGATAAAAAACAGTGAGATAGTATTGACAGTTTCAGCATTTTTCTTAAAACAGGTTGAGTTTAATGTTTTATAGACGTCATTGGACTAGTCAGGAGTCTTAGCCCTGAGTTTTGTATGTCAAGGAGCAATGTAAACACGATTTTGTTTAGTTTTTTATTAAAATAAATAAGGAAAAACACAGTGAATGAGCTTTAGGTGAAAAGCACAAGTCAGGAGTTTCAACAGTCATCAGTGAGCACTGAAAGGATGAAAACATTTTGAATATTAGACTTTATTTGCTTGATTTGAAAGAGAATTGATTAAAAATGTGTATGTGTATGTGTATTATTTCAGTTTATTTGAGTTTGTTAATGATATGAGAGCCCGGTAGTGGATTAGCATGCAGTAAAGCCTTCATAGAGAATAATCCTCCGTTCTGTTTGTGATTCTGTTGCTCCGATTGCTTAAAAAGGAGGCAATTATTCACCTGGCAACACCAGACACACAAACCCAGGCCAGTGTTTGTCTGTGTGAGGCTCTGAATGTGTGTTTGGTGTCCAGGCTCATTTTCTCAAACATCTTTAACTGAATCTGTTTCCCAGAGCCTCTTTTTCTTTGTTTCTCAGGACAGACTTTAACCAGGGGTTCAGTTTTAGACTGAAAAAGGGAGGTACAACGTGTCAAGACTGAAACCTGTTGAAGGTTTTCTTTAGCAGAATTTGCTGATTTTGTTTTTTGTTTTCTATTATTTCATTCAGTTTGCACTTTCTGCTCTTTGATATAAATTAAGATGATTCTACTCAAAAGGAATTAGTGAATTAGTTCTTTTGTCTAAGGACCATCAAATGTGGGAGATACATTTATTACATTTTCCTTATGTTTTAAGGTGTATATAACACTAGACACCTTAAAACATACAACTTTGACTATATTTGGAGCGCATGTGAATTACAAACATACAGTGCAACATTAGCTTTGAGGAAATGTGGAAACAAAAAGTAGTTTTTACCTCTCATTTCTGGGATAAATGTTGGTCGGGATGAATCTTAAGTTGATTCCTGGGTGTCACCCAAGAATATTGAATTTTAGATATTGAATCATACTGTTACAACTCTCTAAAACTGGGTTTCTGATCATTCAAGCTGTTGCCAAAACTGAAACCTGTTAAAGGTTTTTTAGCAGAATTAGCTCTTTTAGTTTTTTCTTTTCTATTATTTCATCGTTTTAGCATGTTCTGCTCTTTGATAACAAATTAAGACGATTCCACTCAGAAGGAACTAGTGAATTAGCTCTTTTTTTAGGGACCATCAAATGTGGGAGATTGATTTATTACATTTTCCTTATGTTTTAAGGCGTACATAAAACTAGACACCTTAGAACGTACAACTTTGAGTATATTTGGAGCGCAAATTCAGACTTAAATCCAAATAAATCTTACAATATAGGGTTGAAATGGTAAATGTAGGTCAGAGGAAGGGAATAAAAACTGTTGTGGGTTCTTTTCTGCGGATCGTTGCGCTTATCTCGGCCGCACACGCGCAGGTGGGCGTGCCCGGATCAGAGAGAGAGAGCCCTGCCACCTGGGTGAACGTGCGCATGCGCAGAGCGGCCGGGATTCCCGGCTGCTTCCCTCCGCATCAGCCTCGCGCGCGTCAGAACGTTGGTGGGCTCCGCGGCACGCGCCTCTTCTGGAATCAACAACCGCTTTTTAACGGTCGCTTTTTACTTTTTTACTGGTATTTTTTCACAGAAAACCGCCCACTGGACACGTTAACCACGGTACGTGTGTTTATTGTGGATTTTCTTATACATTTTAACCATACACATATTAGTTTATTTTCTAAAACTCGTTTTTTTTAGGTTTTACAGCTTGACCCGAGCTAAACGTGTGGGTCAACTAGCTGTCAAAACACTTTAAGGGTTAAAAATGCCTTAAATTGTCATTAAAATGGGTTATTTGTTGTCTTTGTGGTTTGTTGTTCATGTTCTGTTATCTTGTCACAACGTCACCGTATTTGGTGGAACACTAGTTTGTCCGTAAAAGCAGAAACACCAGTTTCTGTAATATTTATTTTACTGTCAAATACTAAAATGCAGAACATGCCCACTTTGATCAAATGCTTCTCTTTCCAAACTTTAATTTCTTCTTTACATAAATGATCTTCCAAGTATATTTAGCCTTTTATTGGGGTCCTTACAGATCGGAAATACATCTGGATAGATATTTTGCAGGCGGGTTGTCATGTTGGTTTGGGTTGTCTTTTACATCAGAAATGTGTGAAGAATTGTCTGCTTTGAATTTAATTATACGATCACATAAGCAAAGAAAGCATCAAATTATTGATTAATTTAGCCTCTTAACAGTTGAAAAGCTGCTCCAGAAAAAACCTGCAGACATGAGACACGCCTCGGACAAATGAGTTTGTCTTTCTTTGGTTGTGTTTATTTAGTAAACACGGCTATCACGTGTCTTCTGGAGCCTTGAAAACAGCGGGGTTTGCCTTTATATTATGAAATAATAGCACGTTTCTGTTTGCAGCCTCACCTGTGCCTGTCCCTAAAGCTTTGTACGTTCTCCGAGGGGTGAAAGGTCTTTTTTTATCCAGCTGCTCTTATGTTTCTGTGGCATTTCTGGTATTTTAAGGAGACTCAATCTTGGGGAACATCTTCCTTATCAATAGGAAATTTCTTTAATGCGTTATGGTTTCTGTCGGGATGTCCTCGTGGTGCTCCACCTGACCCTTTGACCTGTCTGGACCTCTGCAGCTTTACATCTTAGCGCCAAGATGCTTTTTGGGGCTTTTGTGTCCTGGTTGCCATGGCGCCTGGCCTGGCCTGACGCCCCTTGGCTGTAAAACGGCCTCCATCTCCCCGTTTCCTTCAGTGGACGAATAGAGTCGTGGAAGCGGCTTAATAGAGATTTTTCTGCTTTTTATTCCTTTTTTGTGCTGTTTAACAGGCGGTTGGATGAACGCGGGGGGGCCTTTGTGTTCTTTAAAAAAGCACGTGTTTACTGTTGTTGGTCTGGTAGAGGAGACAGAGGCCGTTCCTCCTCCGGGGAGTTTGACCAGCGTTTCCACGGTGACCGGGAAAAAGTGTCTGCGGTCTGCTGTTAAATCCGTTTTTTTGATCAGCATTGATGAATATTTATTGCTGTTTACGAATAGATTCTTCTCTATTTATTCATTTACATTTTTTCTATTTAATTTATGTAAAATTATGTTATTTATTGATACATTAAATTCTGTCTGTTATTATTTATATGTCTAAGATATTATTATTGATGACATTATCTTGAATATCATATATTCATTTGATTTTTTTTTCCTTTTTTCTCCAACTATACTTATCTAGTTATCTATTTTACGTTTTTTTCCTGCATACGTATTTATTTTTCTGCATGGATTCTTGGTGTAGCATATAAGATTTTACGACCCTGTTTTTTTTATTATTAAAAAAAGCTCAATGACATGAAGCTCACTAGGTTGTCAAGGGAAAACTAAGAATATATCAAATCAATTTGGATGGAAGGGGACCATTTTTATGTAAATTACAAACATACAGTGCAACATTAGCTTTGAGGAAATATGGGATAAATGTTGGTCGGTATGAATCTTAAGTTGATTCCTGGGTGTCACCCAAGAATATTGAATTTTAAATATTGAATCATACTCTCTAAAACTGGGTTTCTGATCATTCAAGCTGTTTCCATAAACAAGTCTCAGATCATTCATACAATACGTTTGGCTTCCTTTTGCGCACAATATTATTATTTAGATATATTGAATACTTATTTATTTAGTTGGACCAAAGATTCTGATCTCTGGTCCAGCTTTTAGAATAAATAGAGGCCGACTAACAGGGCAACTGTTAGTGCCGCACACCCGATAAGAACATGGAGAACATAGAGAACATGGAGAACAAAGCCCAACACGTTTGCTGGCTCCATGGAGTGGATCATTATGCAGCAGAGTGTTTGCAGCTGCTGCTTCCCTTTCGCAGCTCTGAGCTGAGACTGGAGCAGCTTCGGATTCTCCTCCCATTTATTTTTTTATTTTCAAGAATCTTCACAACAAAATGACATTCCGTGAGCCAAGAGCCATGAAATCAATAACAGAAATACTGATGCCACATAGACAATATTTCAAAATAAATGCACCACAACAAACCCGATCACCTGAAACTTTGAATGCCCTAAAAGAGAAAACTGCACACACACACTATCATATGTATACACACATCCACACAAACCCACATCCAGGGTGCCCACACACAGGCCAAAAATGCAACATAAAGTAAACAAACAGCAAAAAATACATATATATACAGTGGGGGAAATAAGTAATTGACCCCTTGCTGATTTTGCAGGTTTGCCCACTTACAAAGAATGCTTATTTTTCCTCATCAGATGGTTATCAATTTTTATAAAAATCATATGATGGGATTTTCTGGAATTTCACTGTTAGAATGTATATATGATTAAAGTTATAGATCGTTGCATTCTTTGCAAAGTGGGCAAACCTGCAAAATCAGTAAGGGGTCAAATACTTATTTCCCCCACTGTACACACTACCATATGTACACATACATACACACAAACCCACACCCACATCCAGGGTGCCCACACACAGGCCAAAAATGCAACACAAAGTAAACAAACAGCAAAAAATACACATGTAATATATACACACATACATGTATACATACATGTATATACACATATACAAATACATCCCATAAGAATACCGAATACAGAGCAGATTACAATTCATTAGAATCACAACAGCCCAAAATCATACACCCAAATATGATTTCCCTCCTCCCATTTTTGGGGTGCATCGTCCAGCTCCTGGACTGTGTGACGTCCCTCAGAAGCTCTCGGAGAAACTGCTCACTGCTGGAGAAACTGCTCACTGCTGGATAAAGAGTGGGAGCAGTAATCTGTCACGGCGCCATTTTCACCGCCCGCCGTGACTCACGTCGCACATCTCCTTTTGTGCGTCCCCCCCGATTCGGTCCCCAGAATAACAGCTTTGCCTCGACGCTGACAGGTCGTTAATCAGGCTTTTTCCTCGCCTGTCGTCACAAACAAAGGCTTTTTTTACACCGTTAATTATTCCCGTTAATTATGTTTTAACGGTGTATCAAAGCGGCGTTTGAATCCCTTAAACCACAGGAACAAACATATGGGGAATAAGGACTCACATGAATCTGCTTCAGAAGGGAAAATAAGAAAAAATATATATGCAATAGCTCAAGTTACCTCTCCTGTTGTCTCTGGGTGAATGGCTCTTTGGATTTGGATTAACTTCCTGCATAAATGTCATTACTGAGATGTTTCAGGCAGGAAACCGGGTTTGGTTTATCTTTCATTCAGGTCTCAGACACACCTGTGGACATCCAGATTTGAGTCATCCTTCACCTCATAGACATATTAATAACCAGCCACAGTAGTGAGTCATCACCAGCCCTCCGTGTGTGTGTGTGTGTGTGTGTGTGTGTGTGTGTGTGTGTGTGTGTGTGTGTGTGTGAGGTCATGTTGTTTGATCTGTTAATTATTTGTATGCTCTTTTCTTGGTACACGTGCATGTGTGTGTGTGTGTGTGTGTGTGTGTTCAGTTGTGTGACAAAGAAGCGGTCAGTTGAATATCGTGTGCAAATATTTATCTGTGTATTGTTTCTCGAGCTGGTTTCCAGTGACTTTTGTGTGTGTGTGTGTGTGTGTGTGTGTGTATTCTTTTTACTTCTGACTGTACGCCGTTGCTGGCGGCCATGTTGGATTCCCAGTCCAGCAGTTACTGACCACCTCTCAGAAGCCTTACTTTGATTGTTTAACAGAAACATGGAGCACTTACTTTTTATTTTTTAACCCATTTGTTTATTGATTTATTTTTTGGCCTGTGGGTGGGGTGGGTGGTCAGGGGGTTTGGGGGTTGACAGATCGTGACATTGAGTTTGTATTGACGCTTTATTTGTCTCAACAATGTCTGTCCTAAGTTTAAAATGTTCAATAAACAAAGTTTGT